TGGTATTTGTAGATAAGATCATGGTAGAATGACCTGCCTATCTCAATTCGAGCAGCTGAGTCTTTAGCCATTTTCCAAAAACATCTAAAGACACATCTTTTTCATCAGCACCTGATCAAGTAATACTAGCGCTTACCTTTTCTATTCAATTCAATTCTATCATTTGTAAAAAAAAAATAAAAATAAATAAAAACTTTTTTTGTAAAATGTGTACTGTGCTAGACTAAGTGAGACCTAACCTAACATTCGTGGTCAGAATTATTGGCACCCTTAGTAAATATGATCAAAGAAGCCTGTAAAAATAAATATGTACTGTATAAAATGTCACAAATCTCCCTGGAAGAGGATGCGTGTATATATTGTCTTAATACAAGGTGAGGAGGATAATTTGAGTGGCCAAAGACTCTCCACAAAGATCTGTCAGGTGATCTCCAAACTCATCAGGCAATATAGGAGAGACTCAGAGCTGTTATTGTGGCAAAAGGAGATTGCAAAAAGTACTGAATAAAAGGGTGCCATTAACTGTGGCCGATGTGTATAAGAGAAAAACATTTATTTCCTAATGAGCTTCCCCCCACCCCCTTTTTGATCTTTTATCAAAAAGGATTAATGATGCAGATTTATTTTCACAGGCTTCTTTGTTCATATTTACCAGTAATTCTGACTACGACTGTATAGCCTATGCAAATGTGCAAAACTTGCTCATAACTTTACATTTTTGATTCGAGTGTGTGAATGTGCTTTGCCCCACATTCTCTGCAGCAACTCTAGCCTAACTGTGAGCACACAAGTTTCTTAATTTGTGATTTGTAGAATAGGATTTGTGCACCTCAGAATTTGAAAAGGTGTAACCGTTGTGTTTGTTAGAGAGAATGAGTAAAAAAAAAAAAAAATCCTAAAAAAAGTCCTAAAAAAACATTTTCTGTGACTTCAAATTTACCAATATGCATGTGTGACTATTCATTACAACTACAAATTCCACTGTCACAGTTGCTCAGGTTTGCTATAATAATACCTTCACAGAACATGGTAGTAGTCAGCCATCC